GAAGGACGCCAATGCCGAGCACGCGCTGCGCGCGCAAATAGCGCAACAACAACAGTCGGTGGAGCGAGACGGGCAAGATCCGGCACTGCGCAACACCACGCCCCTGAGCGAGCGCAGAGCGGACAGCCCCGACAGTGGCCCCCGTCATTCAGCTGATCGCGGGAGCGTCTGATATCTGTCTTTATATGTCTGTCTTTTGATGTATTTTTTGTGAGGTATCTCGGAGGGACTGCCTCTGAGGGAATATGCCCACAAGCGCGGACCTGTATGACTATAAAAAGCTTGGAAACGACGCCGTTGGATATTTCGCGTGGGCATACCTTTTTTTCGCCCGGCTCTATCAGCGGACGGATCCATGCATTTTCTGTATTATCATTCATGCATCAGCGGTTTGGTTTGTCTAGAGGATGAGTTTTTGTCTCGTTGTCCCTCTCGAAAGATTGTCAATTCAAAAAGTTGACTTGGCTTTTTTTTGCTGTTTGCTCGCGTTGCTATGCTATGCTTTGACTTGATGTTTTGACTTGCCTTCATTCGTCTCTATTCGGCTGTTTGACTCGAAAACACAAAACCAAAAAAAAAAAAAGAAAACAACTATAGACTTGGATTTTTTCTACGGGTGGGTTGGATAGAGCATGTTTGGATGGGGTGGTTCATAGAATGGTTCATAGAATGGGGGATTGGGAAGAGGGTAGTATGTGGGAAATGGATAGAATTGTTTGTTTGTTTGTTTGTATCATTTGGTGGAAGATTGGAGGATTGGAAGAGTGGTGGAAGTGGAAGGATGTTATGGCTTGCTTGGCACTGCGGAGGGACTACCTAGAATGAAAGGTTTGTTTAGAATATTATCGGGTTGTGATCTCGCGCTGAACCTCTCCTTTTTGGTGTGTTTTTTTGTTCGTCCTGATGTGTGTGTGGCTGTGAGATGATGGGAGTTGGTGGGAGTTGGTGCTGGGTCTTGGGTCCTGTCTTGGGTCTGCTATGGTTTGTTGTATGAGTAAACACATGTTGCAATGGGCTACGTATAGTTGCTGTTTGATGTGTTGGGGTTCTGGGATTTTATGGGTGTTTAGTTGCTTGGATCTTGGGAATTGGGAATGTATCTTCTTTACTTTTAATCCCCCCCCAACCCCAACCCAACCCAAACTGTTTTCTGACGTCGACCCTGCGTCGAGAGGAAACTAAAACCGGGGTGGGAGTTGGGAATGTATGTATTTGGGTTCGTGAAAATTGGGAGATTATATTGATGGATGGAAAGGGGCGAGGAGGGAGGGTCGAGACGATGTGGACGGATGGGCGGGGGAATGGGCGCTGACAGTGGATGTGAGTGCTGTGGGAGGGCGGCTTCAGTGCGTTTGACTTTGGAAAATAGGGGGTGGAGGGGGGAAAGGTTGTTGCTGTGTCCCCCGGAATGGGGTGGACCAGTCGTTCAATGGGAGCTCTTTGCGCCAAGAACAGAAGAACGTCATTCACCGATCGATTACACCGATTTTTCTTGGGCTGGAGTCGTTGATGATGTCCTAGACGGCGTCGGAGGTACAAGTCGGCAGCCATCTCTCCTTTCCCAGTGTATTGTACCGGACGACTGCTGTGTCCTTTCTCGACCATTTCCTTTGATGAGTTTCTCTACCTCCCTCAATATCATCACCGGACACACCACTTCAAAACCCAAAAGAACAAGATGGCATCGTACATTCCTAGGTACCTTCCCCTCAACCCCCCGACCATCACCCGCCCCGAATGTCTCGCCACAGGGGAAGGGGCGGGGGGATACCGACGGATAACAGAAAAGTAAGCGGAGAATGCAACCCCAGCCCAAAACGACCAAGTAACAACAAGGATATATTTGTTTTCTGAGAGCACAAGAGAAGCGGTCAGTAAGGAGGGGAATGCCTGGTTCCTGTCCTGTCTGTCTTTGTTCTCCGGTCGCGCAAGACTGTCACCATCACCGCCGCCGGGAGAGTAGGTCAGATCAGATCAGATCAGATCAGGTTCAGGTCAGAGGTGTCTTAGATCGAACACGAGACTTTAGATCTGGATCAGATCAAATCACACCCTTTCTCAACAACCACAAACAAGCAGCCGGCCGGCCGTGTTGCGCGCGCGGATTTGCTAATCTATCTACGGGCTCTCTCTCTTTCTCTTCTTCTGACCTATTTACCTAGGGAACAAGATCTCAGGCCGCGCCCCGGCGGCGGCAGGGAAATCCGACTCCAGATGAAGTCGATGAAATACTACGAGCCAGCCATCCTTAATAAAAAAGAACACCAGAGAGAGAGAGAGAGAGGACGAGGAGACTAGGATCTCCTCCATTCCAAGTCCGTAACACAAAAACCTCTCTCCCCAGAAAACGTCTAACGCGATCGGGAACACCGCGCATATTTCGAGGGCAGGCAGAGAAAGCAAAAGCAAAAAACACAGCAGAAGCGTCTTCCGGAGGGAAAATCCGATCAAACCCCATCCAGCCAATTACTTACCCTTGGCTAAAGCAGGTGAACCAAGTCAAAACAGAAATCCAGATCTGTCCTACCAAGATCGGTGTGTGGGTGGGGTGACAGCAGGAAGCAGAAGCAGCAGAGCAGAATAGGAGAGACAAAAAGCAAGTAGACGTGTGTGTTGTGTGTCTCTGTGTGTGTACGAAGTCGAGACAAGACATGCATATGCTGCCTTTCCCCTCTCTCCCCACCCCTCCTCCCTTTCCCCCTTTCTCCTCCCCGTTGGGCTGTGGAAGGAAGGAACACGAGGAGGACCAGGAAGAGGAGAAGAAGGAGAAGAAGAAAAGGGGGAATATGCTGAGTTGTGGGACGAGGATATATACCTATGCGCGATGTGCAACTGCACAATGCCGAATATATGCGAGATCTAGAACTAGGTAGGTATGCAGCAGGCGGGAAGAAGAAGGGATGATGGATAGATACCTAAGGTAAGCAAAAGGGGCGACGGCAGGTGTAAAGACCACAGAAAGCAGAAGCAGGAAAAGCAGGAAGCATATTTTTTTGCTTTAATTCCCAGTCAGGAGTACATACCTAACCTTACCTTGCCTTACCTTACCTAGGTAGGAAAGCCAAGTGTCTCCGACAGATGACAGATCGGGGGTGTCAACTTTTGCCTACCTAGGAAGCAGCAAGAAGTCCGACTGACAGGGGGTGTCAACTTTGCCGGTTTGGCAACTGTTTACCTAGGTAGGTACCTAGTTTACTGCAAGGTGTGGTGGCACCGTCAGCGATGATCTGAGACAAGATCGGAAGTGAAAGAGAGAGAAAGGGCTGGGGTATCCGGAGGAGAAGGAGGAGGAGGAGGGCAGGAAGAAGCCAGTGTTGAGGAGGAGGGATTGCGACATTTATGTCGAGCAACAAATCAGTCGACGCAGGGTTGGCGTCAGAAAATAGTTTTTCGGGGGGATTAAAAGTAAAGAAGAGTAACAAAACAGGAAGAAGAAAGAAAAGAATGGGTTCATATGTGTGATCCGGGGAGGTAGGTGTTGAACAATACCAAGAAGCAACAACCAACAACCAAAAAAAAGCAGGTGTGTCGTTGTCCTTTTTCTCTGCATCTCCACAGTCGGCGTGGATGCGCAGGCATGTACAAGTACAATAGATAGCGTGTCCTTCTCGTCTGGTCCATCCCCCCTTTTCGAGTGTGTATATATGTGTGTGTATGTGTGTGTCTGTCTGGCATATAATGGCCTCCCCAACCCAGCATCTGCCATCCGAGGCATTGCCAAAGGCAGAGAGTTGTAGTCCATGTATATGCCTGAGCGAGTGTGAGTGCCTAAGTGTCTGAGAGTCAAGTCAACCTGACATGTCGCGGTCGGATCTCCGATGAAAAAGCTGTCAACTTGTCACAACGTGACAAGCAGTGTCTGTCGGGATCGAGGTCATGGCGACGTAGCCCCGAGCACCGGGCAGCGGGCAAGCGGCGGGGAAGAGACATGCCCGAGTCATTTCATGACAAGCCCCAGCGCGCATTGAAGATCCGAGGGTAGAGTAGGTTCTGTCAACCCAGGTCTCTGGCGTCACGTCACGCCGGGGGAACGGATGCTTGTGGCGTTGTCCTGTCTTGTCTGTGTTCTTCTTCTTGTTCTTCTTCGGGATTTCATGGGGGAAAAGAAGAGATGATCTCTCCTCCTCCTCTCATGGACAAGTTCTGGCTTGACTGATACGCACACCCCTCCGTAGAACGTCGTCTCTCATCGATCCATCCGCCGTATTCGACGAATTGCAGCTGCGACAACTTCTCGCACCGGGCTTGCCACAGCAGGCATAAGAGGTTCCATTGAGAAATGGCGTGCATTTTGTTGTCACCGGGGTCATCTCGATCGGTTGCAAGATAACTGGGACGGCGACACAACGTCAAAGGGGGGATGCCTGGCTCCGATCTGTGATGTGTGACTTGCCTGGGTACGACATGTTAACACCCAAAGGCTGACAGCAAAAACGCAAAAGGGCGTCGGAAGCAGAGAGTGTTGCGTCTGCGTTGGTGAAAAGACGATGATTTGCTTGAACAACGGGCGACAACATTTTGCCGAAAGGGGGTGAAGGGAAAAAAAAGGTAAAAAAAGAAGGGACGTGAGATATCTTGCTTGTCAAGAGGTTGTGCGGATAACCACGGCAAACGGGAACCGGCAATGGCCGATGCACCGTGGTGGACCAAATTGTGTTCAACACTCTTATTACGCCTCTCTGAGTAAGTTTGTGGGCTTGTTCTTTTTGCAAATCGCCTTTGAGAATTTTTATTATGCGTATTAGGCCACAGCTATCCTCTCGTTGTATTTTTAGAAGGCTAGTCTGGTGCTTTTACTGCCAAACTTTAGTGCCAGAGAGCCCTTCCCAAATGATTGCCCGAGTCCGTCGATCTGGCAAAGGGACACAGTCGATCTAACCACCCCGGCCATGACAAGCAACACAGATGTCCGACCAAACCTGTTGGCAAATTTGGAACTGGTAGACCCGAAAAAAAGAAAACGAACTGTGACCGGGAACAAATGACCCCCCCAAAAAATATTCCGATACCGGGAATTGAACCCGGGGCCTCGCGGTGAAAGCGCGATAGGTTAGCCACTACCCCATATCGGACTTTTCAGGTCGGTCGCGCCTTCCCTTTTCGTTGATTGATGTCCAACTACTGATACTTATATATCTTCACTCCCACGAATCATTCCTTGGCGACTTGCACTCATGATTCTATCCATTTCCGGCCTTATTTCAGGTACATTTGTCACCTAGTGGCTTAAACGAACTGACTCATGCCTCATTTGGGGGTATCATTCATCCAGATGACCTGCAAAACGTCGTTGCAACATACGACAAACTTTCATACGACTGCTCGTAACCTCGGAGGGTGGGTTCTTGCATGACAGCCTTACTATCCGACGCCTTTTGTCACGCGACAAATTCATACGGCGGCATTGGGTCCGCCGTGAGCAGCCGCCGCTGTATCTTTCGACCAGCATGGACGGTGATGTCGAGAAATTCGAGTGCAGAAGAATCCAGCGTCTATTGGCTCTACTTGTACCAAAGAGCGGCGGGAACGGCGTGCTTTATAGCCTTCCAGCGGCGGATTTGGCTGGTTCTGACGGTGATGGAAGATGCTAAATACAGGAGGTCTCGTGCAGCTGGTAGGTGCAGTACGAAAACATTCTAACGGCGAAATCCTGCTATTTTCAACCGGTGAGCCGGACCCGGGCCTTGGGGGGCGAAGGGAGGACGGACTGTATTTTGTTGACATGTGACTGGGCTGTTGTATCCGGGAGGTACCCCAACTGCTGCTTGAAAAGTGTGTGTTGAATGCGAATGATAGCACTGGAGTTACCTTTGGAGGCATATGAAGACTTACACGACGAGGCGGCGGAGTTTGGTGTGCCTACCGTAAGTTCTCAGGACCGACAAAGAGAAACAACACAGTTATTTGCCTCTTACCACTCGTTTCCATCGGTGTTGGATACGGGACCCCCGTCAAATCTCCTGCGCTTCAAGACCTTCTTCCTGCCATTGCTGCCGCTGGGCTTGGCGACGACCAAAGGCTGCGAGTACCTCGTGTAGGACCCCGGCACGACGATATTGGGCCTGGACCGGTGTTACTCTCCTGCTCGTCGATATAGCGCCTCATCGCCAGCATGCGACGGGACGCCGGATCGGATCGTGTCCTGGGCCAACGCCCACTCGCCGATGAGCTCGGCGTACAAGACGGAGATTTCGGCGTCCAGCTTGACTCGGGCATGCCTGACCCACGACTACGGGGCGCCAGGTAGGATCGGGATATCGCACCAGGAGTCGCCGCCAACCGTGCCGATGGAAGAGTTGTACTTGAAGACCGCCATGTTATCCTTATACGAGACCTTGTCGACCCTCCACGACAAGTGGACGACCATGGCGAGCTGGGCACGAGTGACGACGGGAACCGGGGCTTGATAAGGGCAGCTGGTACTCGGCCACCGAAGGGTAGTAGGTCACCGGATGCAGTACCTCGAACGCAGCTTCGGTCGATGTCTACAATACACAGCCGCCAGCATGGTGGAAGGCGCCGCAGCTACGCGACGCAGACCCGAGTTTTGCCTTCTTCCCCTGGATTCGTTAACCTATGGTTCGGACATGACTTTGCTCGTGGAGTAGAGGAGTGAGAAAGAGGAGAAAAGCCAGATGCCCTGACGGTTTCATGCTGGCTTTCTGCCTTTTTTTTTTAGGTGGGGGGCGAGGGTAACTAACACCGAAGGTTTAGCACCACGCAATAGCCCAGACACACTACTGAGTTTTTTTCTCGAGTCTTTTCTGACATATCAGAGTGCTACAAATCGCGGTCCTCTTGGGCACGGCGAGCCCGAAGTTAACCATTCAAGACACCAGTCCTCTCTCTAAAATACAACTTAACACGTTTCCAGCACCTTCACTCAAACCATATCATTGCGTTGTATTCCCATGGATTCATTATTTGTCTGCCTATTAACTGCCTCCATATATGACCGGGTTATCCACGTGTTTCCTCATAACCCCTTTTATCCTTGCATTCTATTGCCAGCCAGCTAAGCCAGTCTCATCGTCGCTGCTCAAAACTCCAAAACAGCACGGTACCGGACCTTGTTGTTCTCGAGATCCCGGAAAACGGCGCTGATGGTCTCGGCACCCTCGAACTTGCGCACCTGGGTGACCGGCTTGACCTTGTTGCGGGCGGCGAAGTCGAGCATGTCGGCGTGCTGCGCCCTGGAAGCCACCAGGCTCGAGCGGACGTGGTAGCTATCCCAGAAAAGCTTGTCGGCCCTGCAAAAGTTAGCTTTTTTTTTTCTTGGATTTGGCTAGGTATACATACGGAAAGCTAAGCGGGCCGTGTGTGGGCGCCGCCAGAGGGACAATGGTGCCGTCTCTCGCTAAAACGTTGATCTGTAGAAACCTTTTGTCGTTAGCAACTATCGACCAGACATAGGGAAAAAATACTGACTTGGTCCAGTCGGGATACTTGTTGCCCGTGAGAATCAGCGTGCTAACAGGAGCCTTGACCTTCTCGGGCTCGGTCAGCAGCACAAACTCGCTTGCACCAAAGCCAATGGCCTCCTGCTCTTTGTCTTTGCTGGTGCTAAAGACAACCACATCGGCACCCATCTTGGCGGCGAACTGGATGGCAAGATGGCCCAGGCCGCCGATGCCAATGATGCCCACCCGGTCGCGCGGCTTGACGGTCTCCATCAGCGCCTGGTATACCGTCGCGCCGGCGCACTGCAGCGGCGCCGCGTCCTCGTTCGACAGGCCCTCGGGGATCTTGTGGACGTAGCCCTCCTTGCCGAGGTAATAGGCGCCGAAGGTGCCGTTGTTGTAGTCGCCGAAGCCGTAGATGGTGCGCTCGTAGCACTGGATGTCGCGGCCCGTCAGGCAGTAGTTGCACTTCCCGCAGCTGCTCTTGTGGAAACCGCCGCCGGCACGGTCACCCGGCTTGAGCGTCGTCACGGCCGACCCGACGGCTTCGACGATGCCGGCGCCTTCGTGGCCCATGGCCAGGGGGGCACCGAACCGGGAGAACTCGTAGTCGGTGTAGCACACGCCCGAGTGTGTGATGCGGATGAGGACGTCGTTGGGGCCGAGCTCGGGGATCGTGGCTTTGTCGGCCGTGACCTTGCCCTCGAGGGTGCGGTAGATGGGGTACTCGGTTCCCGTGAGTGAAGCCATGTTGGTGGATTTATATCTTGAAAATAGTTGAGTGGATGTTATAATTAAACAGTTGATTGGGATGTTTGGAGTGTTGATGTCGTGTCTGATAGAGTACCGACAACACAACGAGGAGGCCACACCTCTCTTTATACTCAACACCAGCCCGCCACATCAACTCTTGAAGCCTTCAACGGCGGAAAGCCCCCTCTCCGACCGCGGCATGCTGGGGCGTTACTCAGCCATGCTGCCTTCTCCTCGGATCCGGACCGCATGAAGATGGCCTCTGAAGGCCTCTGCAGATACAGAGAACGCTGTTAGTCCCGGGTCTGAACGCTGATTGGTGCTTGCCGAGGAATGCCACAAAGGGGGCATGATTAGTGAACGCGGCCGCCGGCTCGAGGTTACTAGACATGAATCTTCCCGAGGCCAAGACATATATCCCCATAACATATATCCCAGTGCTAGAAAATGGACGCCGAGGCGTATTCGCTTGAAAAGCGAGTAAACTCCGCCGTTTCAGAGACTGTCGACCCCCTGGAATCTGTATCGTTCAGGGCGCCTCAGAGGCAACTTTGATGACATTGTGATTATCAAGACGAGATACCGTTGAGAGGATTATCAAGACAAAATACCGTCGATATTAGAAAGCCTTTGGCAACTATTTGCGATCTTGGAGAATTGCCACGGGGAGAGATAAGTGAACAACCGAGTATCTTGATGATGGGAAGTCGGTTCGGTATCGGCTCGCAAATTCGGAATCACGATTGAACTTCATCGGAACAGTAAAACTCAGATCGCCGTATGGCGAGAGGCACTCGCTTCAACGGCCATATCGCTATCAAAGTCTCGGACTGATCGGAATGAGTGGTGGCTCTGCCAGAGAAGAACGGAGCTCACCTTGACGCTCACCTCGGTGAAGCAGTGAGGCGGGTAAAGGTGGGGCTCCCCGCATTGGCGATCGCAGCAACATTTTTTTCCACGATAAGAAGCGATAAGCTTGAAAATAGTTCGGGACCAGCAGATTTCCGGTGGTGATCCGGATCGCAAGAAGCAACAAAGATCCAAGATTGTCACCTTTCAAAACCCCTAACTCCGACACATTCGATCCTCGATCCACCCAAGACAAACCCCCGAACGCCGACTGATCCCCCCAAAAATGCGCCCCCTCACCGAGCCCGAGACCAAGGTGGTCTTCGACAAGCTCGCAAACTACTGCACCGACCTCAAGAGCCTGATCGCGCCCCTCGACGACGGCGACCGCTACGTCTTCCGATTGAACCACTCACGGGTGCGCTTTTCTTCTCCTCCTCTCGAACCTGCTCTGTCCAGTCTCTAACATATTTGTTGTCATGGCAAAATAGGTATACTACGTCCGCCTATCGATCGCCAACCTCGCGACGAGCATCAGCCGCGATGCCCTGCTCAGCCTGGGGACCTGTCTGGGCAAGATGACCAAGACGGGCAAGTTCCGGCTGCATATCACTGCCCGTACGCTCTCTCGCTTCCTCCCTACATAATGAGAGAAATGATCTGACCCAAACAAAAAAAGTTCCAATCCTCGCCGAGCACGCCCGTCACAAGATCTGGATCAAGGAGAACGGCGCGCAACCTTTTCTCTACGGGTCAAATGGTTCGTCTCCTTTTTTTTTGGTCCCCACCAGAAGCCCAATATATATATATATACATCCCCTGTCCCCTATCCTGTTTTATCCCATTCTTTTTGGTGTGGTGTGGATTTTCAAGACGCAAAAGCAGGAGGAAGGAGGAAAGGGGAAAAGCTAACACCCGGTCCCCAAAAAAAAGTCGCAAAAGCACACGTCGGTCGCTGGTCCGAGGACTGCCCCGAACATTCCGGCTGCGTGGTCTACAGCATGGCCGACATCCCGCTCGGCTTCGGCGTCACGGCCCGCAGCACGGCCGAGGCGAGGCGGCTGGATCCC